ATAGTTCAATGTCCTTGCCTGAACGCTGATTATGGAAGTGCTAATTTTAGAATTCCAATCCTCACAGTCTATTAAATTTGACCACCAGTAAATTATTTGCAATAATTCAATTATTTCTATTTCAAAAAAGTTTTTTTTTAACTAATTCAATAGCAAATATCGTATTTAAGATTGAAAAACTGAAGTGTTAATATGGCAATGGAATTTTTTTTTATTACTCATGTTGGAAAGGAACCCCATAATTTGTCGAAGGATTTGAAAATTTGCATCTCTATTTTAAAAATGTCTATCACAAAGCCGAATTTTTTTGTTTCGTAAATCGATGACTATGTTTTCGATCACTCCTAACGCAGTTGTTCAAAGTAATTTTGACAAAGGACTATTTCACTAATAGGATTTGCAAAATTTGAATTTGAAAATCTGTAATTAAACTACAAATAATCACAAGATTGATGAGTTAGTGAAGTGGAGAATCTTATTTAAATGAGATTGTAAAGTTGGCCGCATAAAAGTACTTTGCTTTGGCATTTAAAATTTAAGCCTATGTGGAAATGCTTTATGCTAAGAAATGCAGTTCTTGGCAGATGGTATTTCGTTGGCTTTGGACGCGTTAAATTCCCTGCGATATGAATGATCTCCTCTACTACTACACACACGCACGCACGCACACACACACACATTGTCTAACCTAAATCATTGAAACCATATCGATTTGCTTTAAAACTAATTGTTTGCTTTTGGAAGTGGTGCTCTACTCTGTTAAAAGATGAAAACTTGGGGAGAAGTTGAATTGCGAAATAGAAGAGTTAAAATGGAATGCTCGAATAAGCGCGTATTGGCAGGAGTACAAAACTCATTTTTACTTTTATCATATGTATATCAAATGGCAGGCTTTATGATAGTTATCATTAAACCTTTAGTTGACTTCAGGCTTCACAGAGGGAGAGGAACATCAAAGCGAAAAAATTCGAGAGGGGGGGGGGAACAGAAGAGTGTTCCAAGGATGTAAAAGAGACAGACACAACGGTAGATGAAAGGTGAGGTGAGTGCTGTGAATTGGTCGACTATGACATACAGTGGGGTCATGGCAGTTTGATCTCAGAAGTCAATTGCCGGTTAATAGACTTTTTTTGCCGTATGAGCATACGTTGACCAGGGTGCACTACGCGGAGTTAACTCTCTCGCACATCCCACTTTTATCTTAGAACTCCTGTTGGTTCTTGTTTTTAGGTACGCAATGAAGTGTTTGGACAAGAAGAGGATCAAAATGAAGGGTGGGGAGTCCCTTGCTCTCAATGAGCGCGCCATGCTGTCACTCGTTAGTACCGGGGTAAGTACAAGTCCCCCTTTTTGCTATAGTGACTTCTAATAATTAGAAAATTAATATTTTTATTAGGGCGAAAAAAGAAATAAATTCACATAATAAGTCGTGATTTAATACTTTATACTTTATAAAGCGTAGAGCTTTTGCGCATTTATTATTGCCACCAATATGAGACGTTTAATTACGGCTTGCAAGAATAGCTTCCACTGATGATGAATGCCATCAGTCTTTGGTAATTTCTTTTGCCGTATTTGTACTTTTAATAGGATATTTGAAGTGAAAAAGAGAAAATAGAATTTAGATATTTCCCCCTTGAATAGTTGTAAAAAATTCTCCCGGCATCTTTTATTGCCTTGAAACTTTGAGAGCCTTTTTGTTGGACAGGTTGATTTTGGTTTTACTTAGTATGCTACCATTAAAACGGTTAAATCGAGTTCAACTGCGTCTAATTTTTATGGTGCTTTTAATGGTCGAGATGGTAGTTAGATACCAACCTTCATGGTTGTAACATAGTAGAATCTGTCGTTATGACATTCACAAGACGTTTGTTGCCAGTTTGTGTGCTGATTCGTGCAAACTCTAGTTAGTTCCCTAGAAGTGTATAATCTATTGAAATAGCAAGTGACCTTGTGGTCATTTAAAGCAATCTTTATTATTCCCTTAGAAATTGCCGCCATTATAAATAATAGAGCCGAAAATCGATAACGATCGCTTTAAATTCGTTCGAATAAGCAGCATTGAATAAAGATGGAGGATGATATTTACGTTTTAGGAGGTTTTTAGTTCACTGAAACCTCCTGGACTGGGAGTAAATAATCAAGTAATTGTCCACCTAAATACTCCAAGACGTAAATTCAGTTTTTGTTTTAATTTTCGTTCTATTTACCACTTTTAAATGATTTTCTTTTGGGTGTAACGAACTTTTTCTCTGTGGACTAATTTAAATTCGAAAGGGTAATTCTCAGCGGATTTAAAACATTTGAATTCCACATGGCGTCTCAACTCAAATTTTTCGTGCTCTCTTGCACAAAAATTGTAACAAGTTTTAAGTTGCTTTTTTAATTCACTTTCTACTTTCATCTTTTTTGAGATTGCAAATATTATAAACTTCATAACTGGACAAAACATATATATTTTAAGTGAATCATTTATAACTAAATATTGCAATAAAGATCAAGTTTGATAGTTGTTAAACTGCCGATTTAAGACAGCTCTAGATGTATAAAAATGGAAACGAGTTTAATGTGCCATTAAGTTCGCTAGTAAGAATTCTCCTAGATTCCTTCTACGTGAGTCTCTGATAACTTCTTACTGAACCCAAAATCTTAGGATGTGCACGAGTAATCAGTTTGGCAGTTCTAAGATTTTAAGGTGCGTGTTGAGTGGAGGGATGATTGAAAGGTAGTAAGTTGAGGGAGGATCGGACAATGAAAATTAGAGAGTCATTGGAAGGGATAAAGTGCCAGTTATAAACCTTTGGAATTCGAAATTATGTCAAGTTAAGTAGATTAATTTACGTGCTTTGTTCATGGATCAGCAACCCGCAAAAATTTACATTTAACGAGTGGAATAAAGTCGATGCACGATCCAACACGGTAGAATGTGACTAATGTTTAAATAGGCAGCTTTCTTTACCTCAGAATACGTGCTTTGTTCCTTATTCAAATGATTGTGAATTGCAGTTTCCAGTCGTTTTATTTTAATAACTTACAGCCTTAAACAGCCCTCTCCAAATAGACTTCTTGCAAATACCTCAACCTTGGCCCAGAATCTAGACAAATCTTCTCTTGCCTCTACCCAACACTTATCTTTAAATTTGGAATATAAAACTTTAATCTCCTTGACACGGAGAAAAGTGCTGGCATGGTTTGCTTCATTGCTGACCGATAGAGTGGCCTCATTTAGGATTCAATTCACCGGAAAAATTCGATTTATGACATCCACTTCTGCATCTCTACCGGTAGTTGATAAAAATTTATTTATCAGATTTATCCAGACCTACTTGAAGTTGAAGAGGAGTTTGCTTATACCCTGTCAATCAGGAATTAAAACAATTATTGGAAGTTATTGAATTTGATGCTCATCAAGCAACCCTCGATTTGAAAGTGGTTAAGTAGTTTGGTCGCTTAAAGAATGCTGCGCGTTCTAATCACACAAATATGTAAATTTAACCAATTTGAAGTAATCACGTACTTCTGTTTTCGAATGCAAAAAAAAATAAAATTAGGGCGGAGGTATTTTGAGAATGAGTATTTGTGTGAAAGCCGGCCGAAAGTTAGCTCAAATTTCACCCTCTACACCCTACTCAATTTCGCCAAGTATAAGTGCTAAATCAGTTCGATTTGCTGGTGGAGTGATTCCACTTTGAAATACAACGTTTGAAATCTGCATTTAATTTCCTTCAATGTAAGAAGTATTGAAGATTTCTTCGAGCGAACATTGCCACTTCATTTACCTTTGAACTAGCTAATCAGATGAAGCATCAACAGAGAATATTTTGAGAAAAATTCCTCGCAGAAGTGAGTAAATTTTACGGTGCTCCTCAGCGATATGATGCTAAATTAAAGTCACGAAATTGAGTAGAAGATAACTTTCTGACCTTCAGATGATGAGGAAAAAGTTGGCGAGTCTTCTTAACAGCCACTTGTGACTTGATGTTATCGGAACAGCCAATTTAACCACAACTTAGAAAGTCCAATAGACAATTTTCGTTATCCACCGGCAAGTACACTGTCAATGTAATTTGGGTACTCGTAAGTTCATCCGTCATGCACTGAACTACCAACTGGAATATGTATGACCTCCAGCGTAGAATCCATCGTTGTTAATATTAGTCATTTATTTAGTTGATCAGTTGTCATATATCCAATTTGAACGCTTCCCAGTTTATGAGCCTTTAATTTGAGCTTCAAATCTACTACCTGAAGGCTGAATACTATTTGATGACACGATGCTTTGACTAATAAATGGTGTTAGAAAGTGTAAGGTGCTTGTAATGCCGACATCAAAGTCATTGACAAGTTTGAAAGGTTGGGGCATGACTTTTAAATTGTTTGTAATGTATGAAATGAAGAAGAAGAAGTCAAAGGTCATTAAAATGATATTTCAATTTAAGTGATTATCTGTGAAGGAAACCAGTTGCTAAGAGCAACTAGTTTGCCTTTAGCACTTTAATCATATTTCTTTATAAATGAATACCTTTCAAACATAGATTTGCTCTTGTTTTCTAAGTTATGTCCACAGAAGAACACCTCCAAGCTTGTAATAAGTTAGTTTGATCATCATTATCCTGTTCGACCAATCAAAACGGTTAACTGTCTAACGATTAACTTTTGAGCCCATCTGAGGAGTAAAAAGCAAAAAATCTCCCATCGGCCTAATATAGGCTTTTAAACTTTCATTGTTTATTCTTATTGAATATTGTTGTGCTATTTCAACCGTTTAACGTAAAAACGGCCATTTTTATTGAAGTAAAGTATTACTAAAACAAATGAATCATTTTGAACGGTTAGAGTATAAACTTTGACTTAAGCTATCAATACAGTCTCCAGAATAGTTGCATTTGAGGAAAATTGGTCTATTGTAGTCTTATCATTTTGTTAATCTTATTATAAAAAAATAATAATTAAGTTTCGCATTTGTTGGTCGTTAGGAGGGATGTCCCTTCATTGTCTGCATGACATATGCCTTCCAAACACCCGAGAAGCTTTGCTTCATACTGGACCTGATGAATGGAGGCGATCTGCATTACCATCTGACTCAACACAATGTATTCAGTGAATCGGAAGTTCGGTTTTACGCAGCAGAGGTCATTCTTGGGCTGGAACATATGCACAATCGATTTATCGTCTACAGGGACTTAAAGGTATTTGTTTGGCACTCTGTTTTGCATTGCTTGATCAACAAAGGTTATTTCTTTATTACGCTTGGTGAGAACGTCTGGAGTACTATGAAAACTGAATTAAGTGGGAGTTTAATAGCAAGGAGGCGACTCAAATTCATGCAGTTTTGTCAACTGGTTCCAATAAACACCCACTCTTATCACTAATAATTTTTTTTGAAAAATGTACCCAACCGCACACTCGCGAGTGTCTCACAGCAGACTGATGCCGCCGACGTGATGAGTTTTTATGGTGTGTATCAGGCGTAGGCTAAAGGCGTAATGAACATGTTTCAAATGGCAATAGCGCCTTCTATCACGAGTACCAATGAATCTTATTTTGAACAGGAACCATACAGTTCTAAGGGCGTTAAAGGGTTGAATTAAGGTTCAAAATTATTGTAATTTGCTTATTCCTCCGGTGAGTATAGCAAATTGCTCTCATGTCTTTTTTCACGAGTAAATAGAGCACTTGGAGTTTCTTTCCTTTTGATTGGACGGAGAAAAATAAACTTGTAAATAGTCAAAATGAACCAAATGAGTGCGAATATTGAGTTCGTCTCTTTTACTATGTGTCTCACGTGTTCAGAATAAATGTTGTCCCAACGCGTTAAAAGCATTCACGCACACTCCTCACTTGTACACATGATGGTGTTGAAAATGGATAGTTGGAATCTCCCTGAATCATTGAAAAGCAAACCTTGTATCGGGGTGATTTGCGTCAACTATCAAAACAAGGAGATAATTGTTGTTGCTTGATGCTTCCTGATGAATTCCAGCACAGATTTAGAGGGTTCTACGACTAGAAGGAAGCTGTACAACAGACGATCTGATTACACTTGCACCGCTGACTTCTTCAAAAATCCGGCGTGGAATTAAGTGCTTGAGTACCCAGTCATCGGAATTCGTCTTTGTCATCGCAATCAACTGAATGTTTCAGCCTCTTCCACGAACCTTGTACTCGATGAAATCCTTTGCTACCATAAGGTCATACAAGCGTCGTAGAGGTCAACTCCTCATAGGAAAGTTTATTGAAATCGTTGTCTAACAAAGACGAGGAAACTTATAGGCAAAATGCGCTATCCTGCTGAACTACAGACAACGCAGTCCTTTATTGATCTGCCAAAATCTTTAGCAAAATCGGAAGCATAACACGCAAAATTGGAAATTGTTCGGATTGCATGTAGATCAAGGAGTCTCTTCAGGCGATGTTGACAAAATTTTCACAAAATGTCATGGTTTTGGACATGGAGTTGCATGATATGATATCTTTACACGTTGAGTGCGATATGACCCACCGATGGGTCATTGCTGATTTCCATTTGTGATGAAGTGACCCACGAGTGGGTCGTTTATAAAAAAAACAATATAACAAATTTAAAAGAACACCAAAAGTTGGTATTATTGCCACTTTTCAGCATAGTCGTTGTTGATGATATAATATAAAGGTTTTAAAAAATAGAAAATATATTTAAAGCTTTTATTTGAATGTCAGAGGCACTGACGCTGTAGCAACCCAAACATATATTTATTTCAAATGGCAGGCGTTGTGATAGTTGTCATTAGCCCTTTAGCCGCCTTCGGGCTTCACAGAGGGGATAGACATCAATATGGAAAAAATTCGAGGGGGGGGGGACAGAAGGGTGATTCACAGATGTGAATGAGACAAACAGACACAAAGGTAGAGTAAAGGTAAGATGAGTACTGTGGAAGGGGTTGAATATGACATACAATGGGGTGATGGTAGTTTGAAGTCAGATGTCAACCGCCATTTAATAGACTTTTTGCCGTATGAGTAAACGTTTCCCAGGGCGCACCACGTGGAGGTAAGTCTATCGCACACCCAGCAACCCAAACATAATCACACCAGCAGGCAGTCGACGATTTCGGCCATCGCATTCACATTGGTTTTAAAGATTTATTTATATCAAATGGCAGGCGTCTTGATGTTTATCATTAGCCCTTTAGTTGACTTCAGACTTCACAGAGGGGAAGGAACATCAAATTGAAAAAGTCGAGAGGGGGGGGTGAACAGAGGAGTGTTTCAAAGATGTAAGGGACAAACACAAAGGTAGAAAAAAGGTGAGGTGAGTACTGTGGATATAGTCGAATATGGCATAGAGTGAGGTGATGGTAGTTAGAAGTGAGAAGTTAACTGCGATTTAATAGACTTTTTTGCCGCATGAATATACGTTGCCCAGGATGCACCACGTGGAGGTAAGTCTATCACACACTCCTGGTTTTAAAGATTGATAAGGTTGAAGTCAAATGTAAATGCAGATTGCTGATCACTGTAGTTGTGCTATTGATAACGAATAACGGTAATCAATTATAGGCCATTTGCATGCTAGGAGCAGGATTCTGCCTCTTTCCACATCTTAGGAGAAGATCAATTTGCCGCAGTTTCCATGGCCATCGCCGGGATCGGACTAAGGTTGCCATCGACACCCTCAAGAGTTACTTTGAGTGAAATCTTTTTACAGTAATGTTATCCCATTGTCTAGTGAATTTCGGCTAGAAATAATTAAGTGCTGTGGACACCAATTTCTTTTCAACTGTTTTTTTTTGTCAAAAGGACTGTCAGATATATCCCAAACATTTCCACTATTTACTTTTTAGGTATAAAAGAATTCTCTTGATCTCATCATTATCTTTTAAGCTTCCTGAAGCTTAACGTCTTTTTTCATGGAATAGAGATTTGTACTTTTAATTCTGAGAATTGAATAAGTTTTTCCCAAAAAAAATTAATTAATTGTCTCAAGCTAAGGTAGCGAAATTAATTATCGGCTTCGGGTCGTTATGCAAGTTAAATTCGAACTTTTGGCATAAATTTTTGAAAGGATTTCAAACTAGACTATCTTGGGTAGCTTGTTTTTCAATTGTCTTAAAGTCGGAGATATCCCACGTCATTACTACTTATTAACAAACTATTAATTGATTAACTATTGATTAATAATTTATGAAGCATTTACTCTGAAATTATTAGCATAATCTGTTTTTTAATCCATGTGAGTACTTTCATTCAGCATTTTGCATATACTAATAATAAAAAAATGCGAAGTACTTTTAACTAGTCGGATTGACAGAATATCGATTTTTTACTATCGACATGGAAAGTGCTTGCATTGAGCACTAAACGAACGGTGCACACATTGGATATAAATTCTTTGTACTGTGTAGTGGCTAAGACACCTCACCTCTGCTTTGAATAGGCGTCTTTTACAAAGCATACCCAAAACGAATAATTTGCTCATTTACACACGTTCGCATTCGTAATAAGAGCGACAATTTACTTGTTTGAATGATTTCCAGAAAGTGGTGAATAATGGGCTAACGCAACAAATTGCACAGATTGATGTCTAACAGATGTAGCATATGTTCAAGGATACTCGTACGACCGATGTCATATTTACCCATATTTTGCAGGGTCCTTTATCCGCATGAACACACGCCATTGGTTATTTTGGTAAAATGTGCGCTGGCAGAATAAACGCAACTTAATAAAAAAGTCTTGGAATGCTCTCCATTGTTAGAACGTCTTGAAAACCTCCAATCTTTGCATTTATGAGCATATCTTACTATTTGTTATTGCCCTTTGTGACAGCCTGCCAATATTCTGCTGGACGAGTACGGACATGTCCGAATAAGTGATTTGGGTCTAGCTTGTGATTTCTCCCAAAAACGACCTCATGCATCTGTCGGTACTCACGGCTACATGGCACCTGAGGTCCTACAACGAGGACGTTCCTATGATTCCTCTGCCGATTGGTTTTCCCTAGGTTGTATGCTCTACAAGCTCCTTCGTGGTCACAGCCCCTTCCGTCGTCATAAAGTACGAGATAAGCATGAAATCGATAGAATGACAATGACCATGGTAAGTCATAAATCTGATTATCCCTACTTCGATAAGGAAATATATACTATCTGCTTGGTTGCCATTTGGGATTGTTTATTATGTAACAACAATCCATCCCGAGGTTTCCCTTCTGATCAAGTAGAAAGTGTCAATTAAGTATGAAGTCAGTAATTATTACTTCTAATGTCTGTATCAACAATAAAGTAACAAGCATAAGAAGCATTCATCGTGATACAGCAGAGTGCCTATTCATTTGTTATAATTATTCTGTTTAATTCCCAAACGATAATTGCAATCCTCTATTTGCTAATTGAGGGCTAATTTAAACTCTCCTATTTCCGGGTTAGCCATTAATTCACTTAGTTAGTGAATACCAATAGACCAACTTAGGTTTCTTGGTTTTTGCTCAATTTTTTCATATTTGCGACGTTCCTTTTCTTTTGTCGCGAACATTAATTCGTATTTTTTGGGGCAAAATCCATTTTCAACTTAGTGTGGGCAATTGATTTCGAGTGAAGCAAAATCAATGTTGGTTTATCTACTGTAACGGGTAAAAGATATGGAATAATAGGGTCAGAATCGAGTAAGTTTTGACATTTTTTAGAAGGGTATATTAACAAAATGCCATTATTCCTAAAGCGATTAAGAGGTAGTCACTCGAGCGTTAAAGAATCGAGGTGGGAGGATGAATTTTTATAATCAGGAGTTTATTTGTCGGCCTTTGGATACTTCTATAGCTTAAAATAGCCAATAAGGGGAAAGTGCTGGTGGAACCACATCCTCTATCGATTTTTAACAGCTGAGATGTTTTGCGACAGCCTCCTGCGAATTATCGATTTAAAACGTGGTCCACAGGCTAAATATTTATTTATATCGAATGACAAGCTTTATAATAGTTATCATTAACTACTTAGTTGACTTCGAACTTCAAATGTAAAAGAGAGTCAGACACAAAGGTACAGAATAAGGCGTGGTGAGTACTGTGAATGTGGCTAAATATGGCCTACAGTGTGATCATTTTAGTTTGAAGTCAACTGTCAGTTTATAGACCTTCTTGAAGTATGAGTATACGTTGCCCAGGGTCCACCCAATGATGCCAATAATTTTCATCTTCTGAAAAACCCAAAGTTTCAATGCCTTATGCTCACTAAGTACAAAATGAACGAGTCTGAACTGATAAAATGTAATTCGCTTTATGTTCCTATGAATTTTATCCGAAAATGTTTTAATAATAGAATTTTCTAATAAATTTAAAAGATACAACAGCTGTCTTTGTTAAATCTTTATTCGAATATGCTTTCTTTCATTTCAA